GAGTTTTACAAAGTTTAGAAGCCACTTGCCTTAAATCGAACTCCAAAAGTTACTTGACTTGAGCCTTTCCTTTCCGAGTAGAATCCGGATCACGATAATCTATTGAAACAATTATTCACAATCACAATTCGAGTCCAATGACACCAAAATCAAGAAATTTAGGGAAAAAGGGCAAAACGGTCCAAAAGTCTCATACCGGAAAACGATACCCAAATCTGGATTTTTTTTTTATGTAAAATGATCCTTAAAGTATTTGGAAGCTAATGGTGAAAACCAATTTGAAAACGGAGTTGAAATCAATTCACAAACTCAATTTGAAGGAAAATCCACGTTCTTGAAGAAGCCTAAAATATTCGGATCCGAAACCCCGACTCGAAAATGAAATATCTCTTGAAAAACATCTTACCCATGCTTAGATAGGTTCAAATATGAAATTTCATCAAAAATAGAGTTAAGATCGACCTTGAAATTCTCAATTTATCAAACTTTAACTTTACCGAAAAAGTCCAAATTGTACGCGGTTAATATGATGAAAATAATTGATGAATCAATAATTTTATGTTTAAATCAGTTTACCCATAATATAAGGATCGTAAATATACCTTTTTCATCAAAAAGGGAGTCCAAATCGATAAAACCCCAATTTTTCCCAAGAGATTTACGAATAGGAAAAAAAACCAGATAAAGAAATTATGAGAAAATGTCGAATTGAAGATTGAATACTAACCCTCATATTAATTCAAGAAGAAACCCATAAGAATCACTCCATTCCGATCTCTAGAACTCCCGATATGCTCAAAATACCAAATGAACACAGTCTGAGATTTTTATAACAGTACATGGTTGTTATGCACCAGAAAAACAGCAGTTAATCTTTCACTAAAAAGGCCGTAATTTCCTCATACGATAGTGAAATGACCCAATTCTTTTTTGTAAATGTCTTAAATAATGATACGGACCTGCTCGTTCAATCGGAGCTCAATTTCATGCTCGTTTACCCAGTCAAATATCATTTCTACTCGGTAAACAATTATTTCTTATTTGCGATAAAAGTCCAATCTCGGGTTAGCGACAATGCACCAAAATTTGCAGATAAGTCCTATAATTCATGCTCAAAATTTCAGAACCTTCGGAATTTTTTTTCGACCTTTAAAACTAATAATGAACCCTTTAGTTGCCACAATTTGCTGAAATAGTGTCAAAGCATTCAAAAAGCTTAAAAGCTCACCCAAAACTCATTTGGCACTTCCCGAACACAAACCAAATATGCTACTAGCTTGAAAATGACATTTCGAACTCAATGAAATCGTCGGAATTTGAATTCGAGGTCTCCTTGACCCGGTATCCGATAAGGCGTCAAGAAACTAACTTTAGGCTCAAAAACTCGAAACGCATTCGGGGACTCTAAAAATTCAACCAAGACTCATTCTAGACTTAGAATCACCCCCTGAATCCAACGGTACCCTCGGAATTCAATTTCGAGCATCGAAACCTCGTTTGTTGACCAAAGTCAACTCTTGATCAAAATTTCACAATTTTTGCAACTTAGGACCTCAAATCTTCGTTTTAACTCCAAATTCGACTTCGTAAATTCTCATAGACCCGTTTTGACATTCTAAAACTGCTGGAATCGACGGAAACCCGATTCGAGTCTCGAAACTCCAAATGACTCGAAATAACACTTTTAACCAAACTTTAACTCTTAAAAATTCAACTTTCCAAAAACTCAACTTTTCATCAATTTTCCTCCAAACCAACTTCAAAAATACAATAATTAGGACTCGGGGCAACTATCGGGAGGGGTAAAACGGTCATTTTATGAAAATTTCCAAAAATGACCTTTAGGGTCATTACATTATTCACCACTAAAAATCATGTTCGCCCTCGAACATAAAGTAGAAGAAGGCAAAAAAAATACTCGACGCTATCAACCCCGATGTGAAATTTCCGAACTCAGTAATTACTACTCCAATCGAACCCATTCTTAAGCCTTATCCCAAAAATCCATATAAGTATTCCCAAATCAATCTTGACAACTTAACCCTCAAAGGGTTATTTCAAACCACCGACTAACTCAACGACTGAATCTGAATCTAAGATCTCAAAACCACAACATATTTACCATGACAAACCCCTAATCATGTAACCACGAGAGAAATTTCGGAATCAATAACCACAGAAAAATCACGGATGAACCTAAATCAGTCACCAAGCTCTCATAACACACGAACCAACACCGACTCTAGAAAAAATTCCATTCTCATTACCACATTTCCACAAGTCTGAGTCATACTAATCTGATGCATATCCATCGAGCACCCATCTTGGAATAATCACGCTTATCAATCCCACAGATAGAAATGATCAAGTATCCAACTGATGATCGACCCATCCAAGCATAGAAAACCTCTAAGGATGCCACCAAAACACTGAAGTAGGATCCGTAATTGTGGACAATTCCAGCAACGGAAGAACTAGGCCCACGGGCCACCTAAACATCGAACCACACCTAGCTGAACCATGCATACAGGGGCAGGATAAATACCAAAATAGCCAAAAACTGTAGCCATATACGGTAGCCTCTCTATACCTTTCCAAAAGCAAGATGACACTTGTAGAACTTCCAAAAATCTTCCACCACCCCAATACCACATCGAACCCACTATCTCTGAATCGGCCCACCCACACAAGTATTCTATTCTGCCAAGAGAGCATGAATCGGTCCATCCGATTCACCACTAGGCATCCACCCACGACCACATCATAGTATTACACATCACATGTCTCAATCACAACCATATCACGACCACATCATAATATTACACATCACATGTCTCAATCACAACCATAGCACGACCACATCATAGTATTACACATCATCTGTCTCAACATCAATGTCTGTATCAATCATAGCCTACTCATGCTCTTCTATCCCCTCAATATCAGTTATCACATGACTTATTCAACAAATTCAAGTCACATATAACACATTTAGCTCGTTTTATTCCCCATCTTTCATTTACAACAATTTCAATCAACAAATAAAACTCATCCTCAATCCCCATTACTCCCCAACACAATTAGGAAAGTAGTCATGCGTAGTCTAAGAGTTTTACAAAGTTTGGAAGCCACTTGCCTTAAATCGAACTCCAAAAGTTACTTGACTTGAGCCTTTCCTTTCCAAGTAGAATCCGGATCACGATAATCTATTCAAAAAATTATTCACAATCACAATTCGAGTCTAATGACACCAAAATCAAGAAATTTAGGGAAAAAGGGCAAAACGGTCCAAAAGTCTCATACCGGAAAACGATACCCAAATATGGATTTTTTTTTATGTAAAATGATCCTTAAAGTATTTGGAAGCTAATGGTGAAAACCAATTTGAAAACGGAGTTGAAATCAATTCACAAACTCAATTTGAAGGAAAATCCACGTTCTTGAAGAAGCCTAAAATATTCGGATCCGAAACCCCGACTCAAAAATGAAATATCTCTTGAAAAACATCTTACCCATGCTTAGATAAGTTCAAATATGAAATTTCATCAAAAACAGAGTTAAGATCGACCTTGAAATTCTCAATTTATCAAACTTTAACTTTATCGGGAAAGTCCAAATTGTACGCGATTAATATGATGAAAATAATTGATGAATCAATAATTTTATGTTAAAATCAGTTTACCCATAATATAAGGATCGTAAATATACCTTTTTCATCAAAAAGGGAGTCCAAAACGATAAAATCCCAATTTTTCCCAAGAGATTTACGGATAGGAAAAAAAACCAGATAAAGAAATTATGAGAAAATGTCGAATTGAAGATTGAATACTAACCCTCATATTAATTCAAGAAGAAACCCATAAGAATCACTCCATTCCGATCTCTAGAACTCCCGATATGCTCAAAATACCAAATGAACACAGTCTGAGATTTTTATAACAGTACATGACTGTTATGCATCAGAAAAACAACAGTTAATCTTTCACTAAAAAGGCCGTAATTTCCTCATACGATAGCGAAATGACCCGATTCTTTTTTGTAAATGTCTTAAATAATGATACGGACCTGCTCGTTCAATCGGAGCTCAATTTCATGCTCGTTTGCCCAGTCAAATATCATTTCTACTCGGTAAACAATTATTTCTTATTTGCGATAAAAGTCCAATCTCGGGTTAGCGAAAATGCACCAAAATTTGCAGATAAGTCCTATAATTCATGCTCAAAATTTCAGAACCTTCGGAAATTTTTTCGACCTTTAAAACTAATAATGAACCCTTTAGTTGTCACAATTTGCTGAAATAGTGTCAAAACATTAAAAAAGCTTAAAAGCTCACCCAAAACTCATTTGGCACTTCCCGAACACAAACCAAATATGCTACTAGCTTGAAAATGACATTTTGGACTCAATGAAATCGTCGGAATTTGAATTCGAGGTCTCCTTGACCCGGTATCCGATAAGGCGTCAAGAAACTAACTTTAGGCTCAAAAACTCGAAACGCACTCGGGGACTCTAAAAATTCAACCAAGACTCATTCTAGACTTAGAATCACCCCCTGAATCCAACGGTGCCCTCGGAATTCCATTTCGAGCACCGAAACCTCGTTTGTTGACCAAAGTCAACTCTTGATCAAAATTTCACAATTTTTGCAACTTAGGACCTCAAATCTTCGTTTTAATTCCAAATTCGAATCCGTAAATTCTCATAGACGCGTTTCAACGTCCTAAAACTGCTGGAATCGGCGGAAACCCAATTCGAGTCTCGAAACTCCAAATGACTCGAAATAACACTTTTAACCAAACTTTAACTCTTAAAAATTCAACTTTCCAAAAACTCAACTTTTCATCAATTTTCCTCCAAACCAACTTCGAAAATACAATAATTAGGACTCGGGGCAACTATCGGGAGGGGTAAAACGGTCATTTTATGAAAATTTCCAAAAATGACCTTTAGGGTCATTACAGGCAACTACCATATTGGAGTGTCTCCTTCATAATCCAAGTATGGCAATGAGCAAAGATGAATTCCTACCCAAAGAACTCATAATTGACATACTCTATCGCCTCCCTGTAAAGTCCATTGGACGATGTAGGTGCCTTTCAAAGCACTGGCGCAATTTTCTGTCAGACCCACAATTCATCAAACTTCACTTCAACCTCCATGCCCATACACAAGAAAAGAAACTCATTATCGTCACTTGGCAATGCGAACTTTACACTATCACGTTTATCCCCCAAAATGGTGGAGAAATCCATGGCATTTCAAGAAAGGTAAATTTTCAGCACTCGTCACACAACTGGAAATCTGTAGCTGGCTCATGTAATGGATTGGTTTTGATGGTTGGTAGAGAAAAAATACATTTCTTGAACAACCCCACTACCTTAAAACACCATCAAATTCCAATGTTTGATTCGCTTCTTCCTCTGCACCGAACTTGTTACATGTATGGTTTAGGGTACGATGTTGTTAATGATGATTATAAGGTGGTTGTTCTTTCTTATCCTGTTAAAAATAAGACTGTCACTTGTGTGTATATGTACTCAGTGAGGAAGGGTCTTTGGGAGAAACTTGAGAATTCTCCTTATGATCATTCACCTTTTGAACCTCGTTCTGGGGTTTTGGTTAATGGGGCTTTGCATTGGCTGGCTCGTACTACTTCTGAAAATTCAACTACAATTGCTGCTTTTGATTTAAGTGTTGATAAATTCTCCGAGGTACCAAGACCTACTGATCTTCAGAATCATTGCTTTATGTGTAATCTTGCACCTCTTAAAGGGTGTCTTTGTATATCCACCAATCCCATATTTGGACACAGATACATTTTGGATGATGAAGGAGTATGGGGTTAAGGAATCTTGGACCAAATTTAAGATTACAGTACATGTTCCTCTAACTACACTTTTGTGTTCCATTGGGGATGATGATGTTCTATTGGATACTGATGAAGAATTGGTTGTCTACAATATGAAAGAGAATCGGCGTAAGGATCTCTTGATTGATGTAAATCCTTTATTCTATGAAGGTCGAACTTTTGTGGATAGCCTTGTCTCTCCTTACTTTGGCAGCGAAACTGAGGGTTAATGTTTGTTGTATACAGGTATTACGGGAACATGTTCCTCTGTATTATCCACCTTTATCATCCGTCTCCTTTAGATTATTCAAAGCCCTTCATATTTTCCCGGAAACAGCCTCTCTACCTCCACGAGGTAGTGGTAAGGTCTGCGTACACTCTACCCTCCCCAGACCCCACCTAGTGGGATTTCACTCGGTATGTTGTTGTAAAGCCCTCCATATTTTCTTTTGTCTAGGAAATCTATGCTTGCAATTTCGATAAGTAACCATTTCAATAGTAGTATCAAGGATGCACCTTTATCCAATAAAGTTGTCTTTTTAAGGAGTATTGCTGATTTTTTTGTTCTCAAGCTGCTATCATGTTAGAAAATATAGTCTATGAACATGTAGCCTAAAGTGTAAACGACAGTATTTCATGTATTTACATCAGTTTATTGTAATGCCACCTAATTCCCATTTCACACTATTTGGTGCTTGCATGGAAATTAATTTGCTTCGTCTTAGTCCAACCTGTTATTTGTTCATCTTTCGTTGCATGAGGCCCCCAGAAAGAAGGCGTTCTTTTGCATTGCACTTCTTCATGTCTTGGTTCACTGGCATTTTAACGTCATAAAGAATTGCGAATTCACAGTTTTGTTAATTCTCTGAATTGAAATGGCATTGATAGAAATGTAGTATCTTACAACGAAGTTATATTACAACTCATGAGCTGAAAGAAAGTACCTAACCTGAAAACCTCAGGGGACTGACAGGAAAAACATCAAAAACAGACGCAAAAGTGGCACTTGCTTAATACTATTTTAAGTTCTTTTCACTTGTCTTTTTTTTTATAAGAAGTTCTTTTCACTTGTCTTTGGGAAGAAGGCTCTTCATTGTCACCTTAACAACTGGCATTTAGGTCCTCTAATAACAACTGTAGTTGATCTGTGGTGCTTGTTGTAATGACCCTCATGGTCATTTCTGTGTCTTGCCTTCTGTGTGTCGTTTAGAGCGTTCCTATAGCGACCCCAAGTCATTTATGACTTTCTGGGACTGACAGTTCGGTCACCTGGTCATTCGTTTGGTCTTCGTGCGATTTTTTGTGTTTTGGAACTTATGAACCTTGAACGATCATTTTCGATCAAAAGTTCAAGAAGATGACATCGGAATCCAATTCTGACGATTTCATCAGCTCCGAAAGGGTTATTTTAGGCTAGTAGCATGGTCGACATGACTCCCGAGGTTTTCAGTGTGAGTCGGTGCGATTAGGCGTTTTAACTTTAAGTTTAAGCCTAAGTTTGACTTTGGTCAACATTTTGAGTAAACGCGCTCGGATGAGAATTCTGTCAGCGTGGTTAGCTCCAGAATGTCGAGTTTGGTCTAGATTGAACCTTCTTTTGTGTCTGGAGGTTTTCGATATCTTTTCGAGCCCTTTTGTGGGTTTTGACTTAAAATGACTTTTGGAAGTGGGGCCCACTTTTTTATCGAAATGACCTCTGATGGAAATTTCGACTGCGCTGTTGAGTTTGGAATATCAAATTTGGTATGGTTGCATATCTCGTTTGCGTGCACGGGGTTCCGAACGAGTCGGAGCACCCCGTCGGAGTTTTAAGTTTTGGGAAATTGCAAAATTTCTGCAATAAATGCAGAAAAACCACAACATTTCCCAAAACTTCAAACCCTTATAACTCTCTCATCTCTCAACCGATTTGGGCGATCCAAAAGGCAAAATTGTGAATTTTTCGAGGACAACGTGTTGGTGAGCTCGGATAGTGATTTGGAGTCCCCGTTTGAGGTAATTTTTGAAAAATACCTGCTGCCAGACCTCTTTTTGTGAGCTTGATTTTGGTAATTTTTGAGACTTGTTTTCTTAGCCATTTTAGATCCGATTTTGGTGATTTTTGAGGCTATCTTGAGTGGTTTTTCGAGGAGAACATTGTGGTGTTGTCAGATTTTACTATAGACCGCTCGTTTTTGGTAAATACAACTGCTGTCCCATTTCTAATTTTTGAGAAAATTGGGTTTTAGTTGTATGTTGATATTGTGTTGTTCCCGAGCCTCGAATTGTGTCCCATTTTGGGACATGAGCTGGGAAACTGGTTAGGACCCACTTTTGGGGTTAATTTCAGAATTTCCTGCGCAGGTCCCATGATTCCGTTTTGACTCCAAAATTGACCCGTCTCCGTTTGTTGTGATTTTGGTGTCTAAACGACCGTATTAACGTTGTGACTCTATTTTTGATAGTGGGGAAGCGTTTCGAGGACCGTTCATAAAGGAAAAGCTCCGAAGGAGTGATTTTGGAGAGCGTGTGATCGGCCTATAGGTAGGCTACGGTTTTCCTCTCTTAGATTGAGCTCGAGAATGTGAATGCATGTTGATTAGTTGAGATTTGGGTCGGGTAGTTATTGAATCTTGCATAGGTGTTAAGAAATCATGTTTTCGGCCTATTTCGGGAATTATTAGGTAACTGTGAGCATGCTTTGTGTTACTAACGGACCCTCCTCGCTATGTGGAGTGCTTGCATGCTTAATTATTGTTTATTTGAAGCATGTTGGGCCTTAGTTTAGGTTTGACTAGGGCTTGCCTTAGAAATACATTATTCGGATCCAATAGACCTTAGTTTTGCCCCGACGTCGCTCGGCCGACTTAGATCCCTGTAGACTGGTGTAGCAGACTTGAGTCTGATAGATTGGGCCTTAGTTAGGCGATACGCTTGCTCCAACTTTAGTTATCCTTATTTTCCCCGATGTTACGGCTTCACGAGTTACGTCGGCGACATTAGTTCTACTTCGCAATTTGAATTTGATTTTCGATTTGGTTCCAAGGACTTACATTGATTGGCTAAGTATGGACGGCGTTCCATGGACATTTATGAGTGTGGATCGATTAGGACTCTTTCAGCAGCTACATTGGCACCTTTATAGAGCATCCGGTTTAAGTTCCGGCCTCTATCGCCCAGATACTTATATAGAGCATCTGGTTTACGGTCCGGCCTCTATTTTCCAGATACTTATATAGAGCATCCGGTTAGAGTTCCGGCCTCATATACTTCATATTTGTGATTGGTTACTTGGGTACTTCTGGTGAGCATCCGATTAGAGGTCCGGCCTCCGTACTGTCAGATTTTACTAACTAGGGTTGAGGTTCTGATTCGTGTTCTTCGTTCTTGGGTTCTCATATGCAATTCTCTTTAGTTATAGTTATTTTGTGTACTCGTCGGGCTTATGGGGGTCCGTTCGGATTTTTATTTAACTTGCGCACGAGTGTACCTTCTAGGCTTATGGGGCCCCAGTTAGGTGTAGTTAGCTTATAGATTACTTTAGTTAGTTCTTTGTACACTCGTGTGCATTCCCTTGTTAGTTAGATTTTAGTTCTTGACTTCGGTTTGTGTTATTCCTTCTTTTCATAGTGCCTTTACTTTTCAAGTTCAGTCGGCCTATGATGCCTACTGGGTACCGGTTGTTTTGGTACTCATGCTACGCTCTGCATCTATTTCGTGATGCAGGTCCGAGCACTAGTAGCCAGCGTTGATCGAGCTTGGAGCAGACTGATCCAGAGACGGGAGTGAGCACACGACGTTTTGTACTATTTCAGTCTCCATCTGTATATATAGACTTGTCTTTTACCTTTCGAGACAGTCCAGTCTATGTTGTCCACTTTTGGGACTTGTACTCATTTTGTTAGTAGCTCTGTACTAGTGACTTCCAGGTTCTGGGAGGGATCTTTATTTGTATATATGTTATTGGTTTGCTTCCGCCTGTTTATATTGTTATTTGCCTACTCTTGTTTAGTTTTTACCCTCAGACCCATTACTTGTTGTTCCGGGTTACGGGTTGGCTTACCTACTGGTGGGTTATAGTAGGTGCCATCATGACTTGAGAAATCGGGTCGTGACACTTGTCTAACTGAGGTTTTGCCCACTTCTCTTGCTATTTCCTTTCTTGATAAAACCGTGGTGTTTGGGTCAACTTGCTTACACTTCGACTAATTCCACGGGGTAACTGCTACCTGCCATCATCTCAGTACCAGGTAACTATGTCCACCAAGGCTTGGACATATGAGACAAAATAACCTAGTGTGTTTTTTGTCTCCGCTAGGAATTGAACTTGAGACCCTCAACCCACTCCATTCACTACTAGAACCATACCTTTGGGTGCCACTTCTCTTGCTTTTTAATCTGACTCTAACAATAATCTTGGAATTCCTTCCTATGGAGAACTGATAATACAAACTGCTTCCCCATATGAAGTCACTTTTCCATTTCATCAAAGTAAGACCAACTGCAAACTGAACTTTGGTATTGGCCAACAGGGTAATCTTTCATTCTCATAGAGTTGAGTGATGATAGTTCTTCCATCTTGAAGAAAAATATACAGTGTTAATTGAAAGAGATGAGGGGGAGTGAGAGAGAAAGGCTATACTAGAATTCAACTGCCTTTGCTGGTAAAATCTTCTCCTAATTATAATTTATAGTTGAAGAAGGCATAATCTGCACCATAGATTGCATTTTTATCACCCATTGAAGGGAACCACTTAACTTGCTTATGATGGAATTGTTCAGTAACCAACTATAGGAGTTAATATCTCTAAAGGTCACTCAACTTTGGAAATTCATCTAGCAAAATCATTGAACTTTATTTTGTATCAAAGTTATTGAATTTTCAGTATTTTCTTGCATATTTTCTCCTTTTGACCAAATATCATAGGAAGAAACTAAAATAATGAAATAACTGGATTTACGAAGTAGTAGTCAAAGAACAATTTTTTAGAAGAGAAAAATAAGGCAAAGAGAGAAAGCGAGAAACTGAGGGTTAAGATTTATTTAAATGTGAGAGAGGGAGATGGGAATGGGAAGGTATGAATTTAATTGAGATCAATAAATATAATGTCATATATTTAATTAAGGAAAAATGACCGGATCTATCCCTTAGTTTTGACAATTAGAGCTGATATATTCTCGTTATAAAAGTGGCTCAATATATCCTTACTGTTACATAAATAGCTCTTATATACCATTTTCCTCTAAAATATTTTCTATTCACGGACGCAACATAAGAAAATAAGTTAGAAATCCACTTATTTTCCAAGAAAATATTTTCCTTCATACCAAACACACCCTTAATCTTTAACTTATAACTTATACTAACAATTTGTTTAACTTTTGTCAAAGGTGGAATATTTTTTATCTATGTGACAAGATTTCTTAAAAGAGAGAGTATTACATACACCAACTAAAATAATAAGATAATTTAAGTTTATATTTTTTTTGATGACAAGGGAAACCCGCAGCCGCTACCCTTTGGGTGCGCACAGGGTAAAACCCCCGCTCCTATGCAATAGCTCGCAAACCACATAGGAGAGGTAACCCGCACTAGGCAAGCCCGGTGCGACGAGCTCGACCCAGAAGGCAAACCCCTTGCTTTCGCTGGCAAGGGGTTTCGAACTTGAGACCTCCAACATGGAAGTCCCAAGCCCAAACCACTGGGCCACCCCGAAGGGTAGATAATTTAAGTTTATTTTTGATACTTTGACTCTTTTTTTAATTGAGAACTTCTTTGTCACTTGTTACTTAATTTTCTCAACTAACCCAACTAACCCTTTCACTTTCTCCATTTTTGTTGAAGTCAAACGTGGAGCAAAAACAGAGAGAAAATACCCTAGTAAAAGATAGGCAAGGAGTGTCTCCTCCAAAATCCAAATCCAAGTATGGCAATGAGCAAAACTGAATTCCTACCCGAAGAACTCATAGTTGACATACTCTACCGCCTCCCTGTAAAGTCCATTGGGCGTTGTAGATGTGTATCAAAGCACTGGCGCAATTTTCTCTCACACCCACAATTCATCAAACTTCACTTCAACCTCCACACCCATACACAAGAAGAGAAATTTATTATCATCACTAGGCAGCACGAACTTCACACTATCACGTTTAACCACCACATCCCCCAAAATGGAGAAATCGGTGGCATTTCAAGAAAGGTAAATTTTCAGCAGCTCTGACATAAGTGGATTTCTGTTGCTGGCTCATGTAATGGATTGGTCTTGGTGGTTGATAGAGAAAATTTGAAATTCTTGATCAACCCCACTACCTTAAAGCACCATCAAATTCCAAGTTTTGATTTGGTTCTTCCTCTGCAAGGTAGCTGTTACATGTATGGTTTAGGGTATAATGTTGTTAGTGATGACTATAAGGTGGTTGCTCTTTCTTATTATTGTTATAATCAATTTAGGATTGCCACTTGTGTGGATATCAACTCTGTGAGAAAGGGCCTTTGGGAGAAACTTGAGAATTCTCCTTATGATCATTCACATACTGACAGTGTTTCTGGGGTTTTGGTTAATGGGGCTTTGCATTGGTTGACTCATAGAATTCCTGAATATTCATCTGCAATTGTTGGTTTCAATTTAAGTGTCGATAAATTCTCGGAGGTACCAGGTCCTACTGATCTTCAGGATTATTGCTTTATGTGTAAACTTGCAGCTCTTAAAGGGTATCTTTGTATATCCACCATTTTATCCCCATCAATGGACAAAATTATATTTTGGATCATGAAAGAGTATGGGGTTAAGGAATCTTGGACAAAATTTGAGATTAAAGGTCCGAATTTGAATGTTTGTCTTGGTAAACTATTGTGTTCCATCGGTGATGATGATGATGTTTTATTGGATGTTAATGAAGAATTGGTTATCTACAATATGACAGAGAATTGGTGTAAGGATCTGTTGCTTGATGTAAATCATATTAGCTATGAAGGTCGAACCTTTGTTGATAGCCTAGTCTCACCTTACTTTGGCAGAGAAACAGAGGGTTAGTGTATTGTGTGATGAACAAGATGATGTTGTATACAGGTATTATGAGAACATGTTCCTCTGTATATTATCCACTTTTATCATCCATCTCCTTTAAATTATTCAAATCCTTCTGTATTTTCTTGTGTGGGAAATCTATGCTTGTAATTTCTATAAGTAACTATTTCAATTGTACTATTAAGGATGCACTAAAGTTGTCTTTTTAAGGAGTATTGCTGATTTTTTTGTTCTCAAGCTGCTATCCACTTTCTTGTGTACACTTTGACTAATTCCATGGGGTAACTGCTACCTGCCATCATCACAGTACCAGGTAATTATGACCACCGAGGTTTGGACAGATGAGACAAAATAACCTAGGTGTGTTTTTGCTCTACTAGGAATTGAACTTGAGACCTCATGATCCTTAGCCCACTCCATTCACTGCTAGGGCCATACCTTTGGGTGCCACTTCTCTTGCTATCTTTTTAATCTGACCCTAACAATAATCTTGGAATCCCTTCCTATGTAGAACTGATATTACATATTGCTTCCCCATATGGAATCACTTTGCTACTCATTTATCCTACCTTATGATTTTATTTTGTTTTACCTGCGCTGTTATACCAATACCAGCTGCTACTCTTTATTTATACATTAATTTCACATTCTAATTACTAGTATGAAGAGGGACTTATACCATTCTTCATACTGTGGGAGCAAAATGTAACAAACAGTTAAGGTATTGAAACTCAATTTGATAATTTACGTTGTGCAGATATCTGAAGTAAAACGAATTACGGGTTTTGACTGTTTAGTGATGTGAAATCTGAAGAGGGAAAAATGTAGGGGAAAGAAGAACCTACAATAGAATTTTGCCGTTAAAAAATGGATGAAAGCAAAAGGAATGTTATGTGAAAAGTTATGAACTCCCATAAAAATGGATGAAATATAAAAGGTTAGTCATAAACATGACATTAATCATGAAAGTTATGGAGGAAGATTGGGGGAAGATTATGGTTTATGGAGGTGGGGTAGTTACTTCACATAATGGTGTAATTATACCTTGAAGTTATGAACATCCATATAAATATAATATATTTACAACTCCCCCCTTGAGTGTCCGATAACATGCCTCATTAAAATCTTATTGGGAAAAAGTCTAGTTAAGAAACAAGAGTACACATATCTCGTAATGCGCATTGTTTGCTGCCTTGTTAAAAACCTTGCTCGGAAAACCCATTGGGACAAAACCTAACCAAGGAAAGAAGAGTGCAACACATATTTACTTCCCTTGATAATGTCATTTAACATTTCAGAGATGATCTTGTATAAATTATGTTGAACACTGTGCTTGAAAAGAACTTCGTCAAAATATGTTTATTTTGTTTCCTTCAATATATTCTTCTTTCACTTGAGTTATTTAAGCAACATTGTCATATAATATTGAAATTTTCTCTTCAAAGAAAATCACACATCTCTTATGTGTTGAGTCACTTGCTTTATAAGTTGCTAGTATCTTTGTCTAATTCTTGAATATGTGTCAATAATTGTTTGCCTGGTAGAATTTGATAATATGACAGTACCCTCATTTGCAAATAGATTGTTTGAAGAAAGGATTTCATGTAAAACATTGTAGTATATAGCCAATAGAATCTTGACAATATTAGTTAGAAATATTAGTGGCACATGAGCGGATTGGATTAAATTTGGGCCGGTTGAAAACGGGTCAACATAAAATGGGTAATGATTCAACCCACTCATATTTTATATGAGTAAAAATGAATTGGGTAAATACAAGTTTACCTATATTTATCCATATTTTCATGAGTAAATAATACTCTACTTTAGAATTCAACATGGAGAAAATATTTGTCTTTTTTTTTCCCTTTTGAAAAATTAGTTAACTAGTCAAAATCCCTAGCATATTTATTAAAAATGACTACAGTTTAAACTAATTATTATAAACATCAATATGTTAATTATATAGCAAATAAAGTGTATCCTAATATCACTTCCTTTTATTTCTCAACGGAGGCCCACTTTTGGCTAAATTTGACTCCATTACCCATAATTCTCTCTCACATTTTTTATCCAAATTTTCTCACTTCAATTCACCTCCATCTTTCCTTCTTTAACTGGACTCCCTATTATCTCTCTTCAACATTCATCTTTTTTTTCTTCCACAAATCTTATGAATCCCTCAAAAGATTTACACCCATTGAAATTCAAACTATAACCACCTATTGCTGTCAATATGAGAGACCAGCAAAATGGTGAAGAGTTTTGCAAAGCCAATGACACCATGTGGGGTGGTTAATCAAGAAAGGTCTGTTGAAATAGAGAGGGATATAAATCCTCATGCAAAGCCAATGACACCATGTGACATGGCTGCCAAGTTAGCTCAGATATTGCTATAAATATGGATAGCAACCCGTTCTATATGCCAACAATTTTGTATTTTAATATCACGCTGTATTTCAGTTTCACTTTGTATGCCAACAAGTTTTGTATTTATTGTGCTCACTTTGTATTTTAATATCACGTTGTATTTCAATTTCACTTTGTATGTCAATAAGTTTTGTATTTCTTTTTTATTTTGTATTCATTCTAAATGTATACCAACAAGTTTTATATTTTTGTGCTCACTTTGTATTTCAATCTCAGTTTTTCTTTCAATCTCACTTTGTACGCCAATGAGTTTTGTATTTCTTTTTTATATCCTATTCATTCTAAATGTATGCCAACAAGTTTTATATTTTTGTGCTCACTTTGTATTTCAATCTCACTTTGTATGCCAACAAGTTCAATATTTCTTTTTTATTCTGTATTTATTCTAATATCTTCTTCATTACCAACGAAAATCTCAAATCAACCGACTTCAATTTGACATAGATTGACTATAATCAATGGAGTGTTAAAAATCGATATTGGAAATTTGAAGAATAAGGGAGAGAGAAGCCATGTTGATTCTTATTTGGAACGTAACTCATGAGGAATTGCAGTAATTTTTACATTATTTGAAATATTCTCTCCCCTGATTTTCTCAATTATGTTATTAACTAATTGTAGTTTTTCAAATTAAACAAATAAAAAATACATAAATCAACAATACAACGAACTAAAATATTGACAATTTCAATAAATATTAAAAGTGTGGCTATGTGGTCCTATTAAATGCTAAAATATTGTTGTTTTGAAAATTTTCCTTTTTTTTGGATGAAAAATGGTGAAAATACTTTATTTAGTTTTATTGTATCATAGAGGTAAAAAAAAGGAAAAATAGTATAAAATAACAAACTATTAATTCAAATTAAATGCTATAACATCAGTTTGATTTAATTGTAACCCGTAGCAAACAGTTGCCATTCACCTCTCTCCCTAGGTTTCTCGCTCGCCAGTCTCTCCCTCGCCTCTCTCGCTTTAATACAAACACAAATGTATAAAATGTGTTTGTGTTTGTATAAAGCGAGAGAAAACTATATATATAAATACGAAAACATATATTTTCGTCCTATACACTTATAATTATACAAATACAGATCTTTCGCTGCCCAGTTCTCTTTTGCCTTTCTCTCTTTCTCGCTTTATACAAACACAAATTATACAAATTACAATGTATAATTTATGTTGTATAAAGAGAGAGAGAGAGATTTGATATACAAATATGTTATTGATTCAATTGTATACAAATTCAAATTTTATGTAGATATACAAACACATAAAATTGAATTGAGAGGCTGGCATCGATTTATACAAACGAGAGGCTGCCAACGATTTATACAAATGGTCTGCCAGCGAACTTATACAAATCTGAAGCTCCTGCCAGTGAGTTATACAATCTGATGCTCCATAGCTAACATAAAGTTTGTTATGGAGCGCAATTATAAAAATTATATCTATAACATACAAATATAATTTTTATGTTTGCTATTTATGAAAGTTGCTCAAAAAAAATCCTCAACTTTTCAATATAAATGTAATAAGGTCAACCGGGGTTTCACGCCCCTAGTTGGATAGTCACCAAGCAAGATCGAAACACCTCATCCACTACTAAAGACTCACCCATTGGGGCCGACACACACAACGGTGTTGTCAAAAGCTTAGAACTCAAAACCATACGGGAATCATAACAAAACAAAGAAGGGAAAAATATTTTTAGTTTCAAAGTAAATGAATATTTGCATTTTAGGAGTAAAACATGCTTAATGCAAAGCAATATCAATACTAATACATGGTTAACTTACTTTACACTATTATTTGTTATCCAATATAAAATTAAACAAATAAAAAAATTATAATTAAAAAATAGAAATATACATTTAATATGTTGAGTGAATAAAAGAAAGAGAAATTACAAATTTTTTAGTGATATCATGAATTTTGAGTGAATAAAAGTTGAAAGCTTAATCCATTTGGCTAGTCTATATTTTACCCATAGTTTATTCATATTTTACCCATATTTTTATGGGTTGAATATGGGTTTAAACCCATATTTATTCATGTAAAAAAATACTCACCAAACCCATTGAAATATGGGTGGGTTACCAAAATATGAGCTCAATTTACTGGCGTAAGAAATAATACATTTATACCAATTTGATTGATGCCAATCAAATATCTCCAAGTGAATTATCTCTTGCTTGCACATTAATAAAAATATTGTCTTATGGATAATAATAGCAGGATAAATAAGTGTATCAATTTCGCTAAGATATAGTGTGTTCAAATTATTTTTCATAAGATCGAAATTAATCTTTCTTTAAATTAAGCTATTTCATAATCATTGGGGTATTATTCAATGAAATCACTTTAAAACCTTTTAAATCTTTCAAATATTTTCATAAAACCTTTAATGTCTAGCTAGACATGACAACAATTTCATTATAGGTATTCAAGTATTACATCTATTGCCAGATTAAAAGAAACCACTGGATCCACCATTGGAGAACATATCCATATTAATGCCACGACTTTTGCGGAAAAAAATTATGTCGCTAGACACAAGCCGTACTTTAAATCTTACGGTTATACTTTTCCATTATAATTCATTTGTATCCCACTAACATTATATCTTAATCTATGGACTGGAGGTCCAAAACATCACTTTTTCAACTGGCTCATGTAATGGCTTGGTTTTGGTGGTTGATAGGGAATATGATAACTTTTTGATTAACCCCACAGGCCACAACCTTAAAATACCATAAAATTCCAATTTTTCCTCTCCAAGATAGCTTTTACATGCATGGTTTAGGGTATGATGTTGTTAGTGATGATTTTAAGGTGGTTGCTCTTAGTGAAGGTAAGAGTGTTACTTGTGTGTATATCTACTCAGTGAGAAAGGGTCTTTGGGAGAAACTTGAGAATTCTCCTTATGATCATTCACTTAGTGACCATGCTTCTGGGGTTTTGGTTAATGGGGCTTTGCATTGGTTGTAAGGATCTGTTGATTGATGTAAATCCTGTTACGTACTCGAACTTTTGTGGACAGCCTTGTCTCTCCTTAACTGTGGGGTTAATGTATTGTGTGATGCACAAGATGATGTTGTATACAGGTATTACAGGATTATACATGTATTGTGTGAAGGTTGTTGCATAGTACTAGTCGTACCCTTATAGTTCTTGCCGAATGTTGTTTATTGTGCTTCAATATCACACTACTTTGCTGTTGTTGCTGTTCTTTTTGTTTGTTTGTAGACTACACTGCTTTCCTTATTAACTGATATGCTTTCTTCATTGTTTTCTTCTTGTTATACTTGGGTTTGATGCTCTCGGATGTAGTGATAAGGTCTGCATACACTCTACCCTCCCTAGACCCCACCGTGTGAGATTTCACTGGGTATCTTGTTGTTGATGATAAAATTGTAGTGTTCGGGCTAGCTTGCGGGCACATTGACTAATTTCATGGGGTACCTGCTACCTCCCCACCAACACAATATCAGGTAACTCTATCATCAAGGCTTAGATAGATGAGAAGAAATAAACCTAGTGTTTTTTTTTTTGCCTCGACTGGGAATTGAACGATCATTCAGCACTAGGTCACACCTTTGGGTGTCCACTTCTCTTGCTATGTAATCTATCCCTAACAGTGATCTTGGCATTCCTTCCTATGGAGAACTGATATTACAGATTGCTTCCCCATATGAAGTCACTTTACCATTTCATCAAAGTAAGTCCAAGTAAACTTTGGTATGGGCATTTGACCAACGGGTTATCTTTCTTCCTCATAGAGTTTAGTGATTGTTGTATTCGTTCATGCAACGAATACAAAACGTATGTCAACTGTATTTGTTCGCGGAAAGAATACAACCTGTATCACTATATTATCCACTGAATACAATGCAAAATACAAAACTACTGAATGTATGCATATAGTGACCCATAAGGGCTATACAAGTTTAGTCTCTACTTTCTATCGTGAAAAAATTACAGTAAAATAAAAAACAAGGATGCACCAATGTGAATACAATCAACAAAGGTATCAAATTTGGTTTATTTTACATTGCTTCATATCGGAATCTACTAGTTTCTTCAAAATTTCATTTCATACTTGAAAAAATAACACATACCTGGTACAATCAAGACGAAAATACAAAAAAAATCAAGGATTTAGTATGTTAATGGTTATTTTAGTATTTAACAAATTTATTTATTTAAAATATGTTAATGGGGTATGATAAAATTTTCATTATATCAAACAAATAAGATAATATTTCCTCCGCTTCAATTTGTTTGTTATGTTTTGACTCGTTACGAGTTTAATAAAAGTAAAATAGACTTTTGAATGTCTTAAATTAAAGATATCTCAACTGTATTAAAATGTTATTTAATTGTGTGGTCTTAAACATGCCAGATGAAAACTTAAAACTAAGAGTTGCAAAAAAAAAGAAAAAAAAAGGAAAAAGATATTCTTTTGAAATGTACTAAAAAAGAAAATAGGACAAACAAATTGAAACAGAGAGATTCATTTTATGTAATCAATTTCTTTTGATATTCGCCACACATCACGCGGATACTAATTCTACACATCCAATACACTATTCCAAGTTGAGAGGATAGTTAGATATCATGCCCTAAGATCTAACATAATTGCAATTTGTTTGCAAAGCTAACAAAAGGGGTCTTCCCAAGCACACAAGAAACAAAAAAAGATATACTATATGAATTAGTAGAGCCACAATTAGATCATTGGATTTGGAAAGTATTTGGTTGTTTAGCTTGAGAAAGCATTTGGACTACTTCCCTCATTGTAGGCCTCTCAATGCTGTACTCTTCAACACAAAGCATTGCTACAAAAAATACTTGCATAGCTTCTACAATTGCAACATTTTTTAGCCTCTCATCCAAGATTTTCACCACCTCTTCTTTGCTCCAATTTGTCTCCGTTTTCGCCCATTGTACAATGTCCATTCCTTCTTCTCCAAAATTTCCAACTGGCCTTCGTCCTGTTATAAGCTCCAACAACACCACTCCAAAGCTATACACATCGCTTTTCTCATCAATTTTCAGCGTGTATGCATATTCTATACAAAAAGATAACATGTAAAGACCATTATTAGTAGGTTGTAGATTGGTCCGAGTGCATAATAGGCCAGTCGAGAAGAAATTAAATCAACTAATGTATGAACAAACTAGTTACCTGGAGCAATGTAGCCATAAGACCCTGCAATTGCAGACATGCACTCAGAAGTACCATTATTATGAAAGTACTTGGCTAATCCAAAATCTGCAACATGAGCTTCAAGTTCAGAGTTCAACAATATATTGTTGGACTTGACATCGCGGTGGATTATCATAGGGGAGCAATCATGGTGCAAATAAGAAAGTCCCTTGGCAGCTTCTATGGCAATTTTTAGCCTAGTGTCCCATTGGAGTTGCCCGCCGTTCTTCCCATGAAGCACTTCACCTAAGCTTCCATTTAGCATGTACTCATAAACTAGCAAGTTGATTTCCTTGTTTGAACAAAACGCGAGCAGTCTCACAATGTACCTATGCCTGATCTTTCCTAATGTTTTAAGTTCAGCAGATAGGCCGTTATCATGTGAACCTTTGCTTATTCCCAACTTCTTCACCGCGACATGATCACCATTTGGCATAGTTCCTTTATACACTATCCCTGCTCCACCTCTCCCTATGACGTTGTTGTCTTTCAAGCACTGCAAGACGTCTTCACTTCCAAATTCAAGCTTCTGAAATGCTGTCAGCTTCCACAAATTTGAATTCTTACTCCCCTTTCTTGTCTTGATTATTGCTAAGACAACAAAAATGAGGAAGCAGAATAAGAGCCCAAATGCAAATATGAACTTGTATATTGTTGGAACCTTAGTTCTGTTGTCACTTCCGTCTCCAAGTTTTGACGGTGAGTTGGATGTAATGTTGCTAAGAGTCGAGTTGGATCCAGAGAGATAAGGGTTGCCAATGAAGGAAGTTGAGTTGAAATATAAATATTGTCCTGTTTCAGGTATTGATCCAGATAAGTTATTGTGGGAAAAATCTGCTGAAGTTAAGCTCTTCATCGAGCCAATCTCTGCGGGAAGGCTATCGTTGAAGTGATTCCAGGAAATATTGATGTAATTTAAGATGTGAATTTGAGCAATTTGAACTGGGATAGGACCAGAAAGTTGATTTTGGCTCAAATCCAAGTAAGTTAAGGAAAGACAGTTACCAATCTGAGGGGGGATTGTGCCAGAGAAGTTGTTCCTACTCAGGTCCAGCTTTAAGATGCTTTTTAGTCTGCCAATATCAGAAGGGATATCTCCTGAGAAACCATTTCCAGTTAACACAAGATTCTTCAGCCCTGAATAGTTTCCAATAGCACTGGGAAGTGCACCAGACAAGCGATTGTTCGACAGGTTCAGCCCTTCAAGTTTAGAAGACGCTGAGCTTTTCTCGTTGGAGAGTTGTCCACTGATGTAGTTGTTCTGCAGTTCCACCAGTGACAACTCAGGCAAATAAAGAAACCCTGTTGGTATTGATCCACTCAAGTAATTCTGTCCCATTCTGACTCTGGACAAGGTTCGACACTGCCCAAAATCATCAGGTAAAGGTCCAAACAGAAAATTATCAAGCAGAATCAAGATTTTCAAATTCCTCCCAAAGCATAGAGATTTTGGTATCAAGCCAGTGAGTCTATTACTAGAAAGATCAACTTCAACTAGTTTACCGTTCATCCCAAGCTTAGAAGGAATCGATCCAGTGAAATTATTCCTCCAAAGATTCAACATTTCCAACTTTGGCAGCTCCGCGATACATCCAGGAATCTCACCGTGCAAATTGTTGATAAAGAGGTTCAACAATGTGAGCTCCTTGAGTCCTGACAAGTCAACTGGTATCTCTCCTGTGAGTTCATTGACGGATATATCAAGAGATTTTAACCTTGTCAAATTCCCTAGCTGAGGAGGAAATACACCAGTAAGTTGATTTTTTTGCAAGAAAAGAGTATCCAACATATCAAGATTGCCCAATTCTGCTGGAATCGAACCGGTCAAGTTACAGCTAGAAACATCTAGATGAACCAAATTAACAAGTTTCCCCAACTCTGGCGGAATCCCCTCATCAAATTGATTATAATAACCCAACTGTAACCACCTGAGGCTCGTAACGTTGCCCAGCTCCCTTGGTATAGGACCGTGCAAGTCATTCCCAGCAAGAGACAGGAACTCAAGCTGATTAAAACTACCATAACTCAAAGGAATTTTCCCCGAAAAGTAGTTACCCCCGAAATTCAAATACTTCAGCTGCAGAAGTTGAGTAACTCCCAAGGGGAGTGGACCAGTGAAATTGTTGTTATAAGCATCCAACACTTGAAGTACGTTAAACTTTCGATACTCCCAGCTTAAATTTCCACCTAACAAGTTGTTAGAAATATTCAGAACGCGAAGTCTAGTGAGCTCATGAATATCAGGTGATAAAGAGCCAGAAATGTTTAGATTGGATATATCAATGGTAGTTACTGATTTGGTATCATCACACGTGATACCGGTCCAACAACATATAGACATATAATTTGACATGTTCCAAGTAGACAGAGTACTAGGAACAGAGGATACTACAAATGCTTGTTTCAATGAAACTAGAGTTTTAGCCTGTCGTCTCAGAGACGATTGAGATGGAGTAATGAGGAACACGAGTAGGAAATACGCGAAAAAGAAGAGACTTGTGTTAGAAGTAGCCATTTAGATAACTAGTAATTGAAGTTCCAAATACTTTAGAAAACATCAAAGGTAAGAAGAAGAAGAAGATGCAACAAGTATTTTGAAAGATTCCATTGATACTGATAAAATATGATAGTAATTTTTGGCTTTGGATGCTGTTGATTTGTAGCTCTAGCTTTTACCAGTTTTAAAATGTTAATTATTATTATTTTTTATTTTTTTGCTTTGTATATTTAGATTCATCATCTTTATCTTTATGGAGATAAAGCAAAAGCAAAAGCTAATAAAGAAAAAGTTAAAGAAAAAAAAAGAAGCACAGTTAACATAAAGATGCATTGGCAACATAGAGATTTACTACATACTGAATTCAGTTGCTTTTAAGGCAAAATTACTTGTGTGTCCACATGAATTTGATAATTAAGATATATATAATGTTAATGTAGTTCCATTCTTCACTTTTTAAAGCTTAAATTTAAACCTCCTTCAAGTAGAGAATCTTAGTAAATTGGACTCTTCATAATTAAGTGTACTATGGACTATCACTACTTAAAAAATGGATCTTTAGCGGCAATTAATTATCAACAATAGCTCAATTGTCGCTAAATATGTCTTTTTAGTGGCAATTAACACTCTTTGTATATGTCTCTAAAGCCTTTAGCGACATTGGATCTAATGTCACTTAACTAATGCCGGTAAAAACTTTAGCACTCTTTATTAATGTGTCTATTTATTATCGCTAAAAGTTATTTTTGTCATAGCGTATTGTTGATAAAATTTATCATATTTTCCATCTCTCAAATACAAAAGCTCTATTCCTTTTTTAGTTTCTCTCTTACCCCTTAACTCAATTAAAATGACAAGTTCTTTTTACTTATTTCCATCCTTAGTATAACACAGAGTTGAGAGTACAAATATATAAAATATTTTTAAAAAAAAATGGTATATATAGCTATATACCCAGAAAAAAATTATATACAAATTAGGTATCTGATTAATCAGCTCCTATAATTTGTTCATGAAAAATTGAATTGACGACTCTTATAATATGTAATTCTTTTTTAGAACAAACTAAAAGTAACATTATATCACATAAAATGGAACCCATGGAGTACATACTCTTTGATGACATAGCCTTATAAAAAGGCAAATTTGATCTAATAGTTATAAATTATTTGACATTGCTGTTAGGACCTCCGAAACATTTAATTTGAAAAAAAATATTTTTAAAAAAAAATAGGTGTTTGACAAGCCTATAAAATTGCTTTTAAATAGAAGCAGAAACAATTTTTTCTGCGGTTGGGAAAAACTAAATATTTCTGTTTTTTTTTTAAAAAAAAAAATTAGGTGTTTGGCAAACATGTAAAATTGCTTTTAAATGAAAGCATAAACTGTTTTTTTTTTTCCTATTGGGAAGAAGCAGAAAAATAGTTTTTGCTTTTTTTCTTTTAATATATATACCAATATCTCTCTTATTAATTAATTAACATATCTTATGTGTTTGGTTAAGTTCCATTTAATAATTTTATTTTACGTTTATGTATAATTATTTTACGTATCATTTTGCAGAATTAGAAAAAAAAAGGTAACAACAATATTTTTGTAAGATTAGAAAAAAAAAATGAAAATTAAAGATTTCAACCCTTCAAAAAAATGTATAATATTTATTGAAAATTTAAATATGAACATTTTAATCTAATAAAAATAAAAGTTTAATTTAATTTTTTGTAATAGATGTTTAAACTAGTTTCTCTCTATAAAATAATCTGAATATTAAAAGTACATTAATACTTCTCCTTAATCGTAATTTGACTCTCGAAAGCACTTTTTAAAAAGATTAATTAAACACAATTTTCTTATAAAAAACACTTTTCAAATGAATTAGTCAAACATAAATTATTTTGTTTTTCAAAAACACTTTTCTGCAAAGTTATTTTAAAAAAAATATTTTTGAAATAAGTCGTTTTTAGCACCAATGTCAAACAGACTCATAATCTGAATCTATGTCGAATCACATGTTGAGTGAAACCCCTTTGGTATCAAACTAGCATGATTGCTTAGAATTAGGGGCGTAAAAAATAACCCAAATATAGGTAATCCACCCAGAATTTTAAGGGTTGGGCTCAAGATAATTTGAATTGGGTTCAATCTGAACCCATTCAAGCCTAACCCGTTTTAAGAGAATCCTCAATTGAGCCCAATTCAATCTCCAATCTCAACCCATTTTAAAACTCTTTACTAAGATATGTTCCTATATTAAATGTATGAATTATTATTTATTTAACATATTTTAGGATTTATCTATCTATTTGTTGCTTTTAAAAAAAAATATCTTGAGCTGAAATTCGAATTGTGATTATAAAAGTTAAATATCACTGTGTTAAAATTATTGAGATTAATCGAGTCAAATTGGGCGGGTCAAGACCCAACCCATTTTTTAGTCCATTTGAACCCAACCCATTTGAGCCCAAAGTAAACTTGGGCGGGTTCAAACCCAACCCTATTTCTATTTCAACCCATTTTAATATTTTCAATTTCAACCCAACCCACAGACCATTTGACACCCCTACTTGGAATATAAAGCAGGTCTTATCGTCTAATTATTTTACCGCAAAAGAGATATATACTATCCTACTAGATAAGCAACTTTGAAGAGAAAATAGGGATCCTAATTTTTTATTTTAAAACTCATCGTGGACATAGGATTACTGTGACTGTTCCACATTAGTTCTTCAAGATTTGAGTGGTCATTTTAATTTGACTCGAGCAATCCTCATCTATTAAGCTGGTTTATGAAGTTGAGTAAGCTAAACCCAAATTTGATAACATGATATTTGAGGTGAATTTGTTTTAATTCTTATTTTCAATGTTACGGTGCATTGCTCGCACTCCAAACACCCAATCCTGAGTGTGAGGGTATGTGTGTGAAGAGTCTCACATCGACTCCTTAAGGGATGATGAACTCTTTAATATATCTTGGACAATCATCACCTTTAAATTTAATTTTTGAAGTTTAGTAAATCCCAATGTCCATAAGAAAAAAGAAAAGAAAAATGGGTCATCTCTTTGGTAATTGTATGCATGTAATGGTTCTCCTTTTTCCTTTTTCTATAGTGGGAAATAGGGGCACATACTCTTTTTTATCTTTAACAAAAAAAATAAAATTGCATGGACCCTCTCTCACTTTAGACCGTTCCAAGAAAAAGCAAAAGATACCCCCTAATCAGAGGTGGAACTAGGTGTGAGTTTATGGGTTCGAACGAATTCCCTAACTTTTTTTAGATATATATATATATATATATATATATATTAACTTGTGAACCCCTTAATTAATAACAAAATTGATTGACAAGAAAGGGTGATGAAAATACTTTTCACACTGCTTTGTAATATTTTTCTTTTCTGTTATATAATTGTAAATTCCTAAACTCTTAACCCTGACTCCGCCCTTACCCCTACTGCTAAAGAAAGTAACTATTCATTCATTTTAATATGCTTATCTGATTTTAATTTAATAAAATTAAATATGTAAATATATATATAAAAAATTAATTATATATTCTTAAATATGACGTGAAATATAAATATAAAAATATTTTCAAAACAAAAAAAGGCATACTTCTTGCAAAACAGACTAAAAAAAATGAAAGTGGAGCACTACAATATTGTTGTAACGCCGCTCTCTTACCATATCATGAATCCCTCAGGCCCCTATTTAAATTAAAGAAAGCTACATTCATAGATAGATTATTGGTCATATTAATTTGGTCAAACGGTGGAGGAGAATTAAAGATTTAAATTTTATTAATTAACTTTAGCATTTTTTTCACATAGAAAAAAATATTTTTGAAAATTATAAATTAAAATTTATTATTTGTTGTAATTTTAATATTTTTATACACAATTAAACATTTGTGGCACGTTTCTTTCATAAAATGGGATCACTGAATATTTCATCATTTCATAGTCGTCCTTTTCTTTTTCACATCCCGGAGGTCCCTTAAAGGTGGATGCTCCTTACCAAAAGTCACGACATTTTGACAGCAAGTCGAAATTTTTAATTAAGAATAATATAATTTTTAATATCTTTAAAAAGAAGGTAAGTATCAAAAATATATTTTAATTATTTGTTCTTTTTTAGCTTCACACTTAAATTATTCGAATATAAGAAATATATTTAAAGTATCATTCATAAGTTTGAAAAGACTTAAATAATACTCTCTCCGTCCAACAATAGTTGTCCAATTTAGAAAATCATAAGATAAATTATCTTTTGTGCCTATTTTACCCTTGTTATTAAATATTATTTATCATCAAACACATTTTTCAAAACATTAAATTTAATTAAGTCAAAGGATAATATAGTAATATTGCACCTATTATTTATTGTTTCTTAAGGGGTGTGTCAAGTCAATAGTGGACAACTATTGTTGGACAGAAGGAGTATGTGATTGTGTATGTATTACACTCTATTTTAAAAAAAAGAAAAATGACCACATAAATTGCTAGGTGAAAAACAGTTCCACCGTGACAAAAAATGGCAACATATAACTAACATAAGCAGCAATTCCAACTGCAAATATAAATTGAAACACATAACTTTACTCTATGATAATCAATTGAAAATGTAAAATAAAAAAATTGTGTGTAGCAAAAAATAATAAATCACGTGAACGAAAATTCAAGGCTAGACTCACCTAAGTGTGTATATAGAGACACATTTAGTACAATCAACATGAGATGTGCTTCTCAAATTAATGATAGATAGTTTATGAGTGTTTCTCATGACAGTTCCAATACTTTAGGTATGAAACTAAAAAAAAAAATGATAATTCGACTGTGTTTTTACTCTTATTAAAAAAAAAAAACCACATAGACAAAATTTGGTCCAAACGTGTATATGTGTGTACATACATTTGATTTAGTTAGTATTGATGTGTGTTTCTCAAATTAATGAGTGACAATGTATGTGTGTTTCTCTCGCTCCCAATAATTTATATATGAAATTTAAAAGAATGAAATAATTTAGATAGAT